CTCCGGGCGCTGGGCGCGGTGCACTCCCCAGGGCGGTGCACTCCTCGGGGCAGGCGGGTGGGAGGCAGCGCGCTCACTGCGCCCAGCACCCACGCCCAGGGAGGGAGGCAAATGCTAGTTCGGAGAACGGAAATCTTTACTGCTACTGCACATTTCCTTCTGTGCATGCAGGCAGACGAGAGTAATGACACGAATGACTCCTTGGAGCTTTTAAATCAACTGACACTTCTTTGCAAAGTACAGCAAGCATCTCAAGTCCAAAAGTCCCCAAGCAGCAAAACACCTTTGCATCCTGAAAGGAAAGGGCCTTCTCTTTGCTTTTGAAGAGAAAGGGAGTACACTCTTCAAGGAATCAATCAAAATAAAATAAAAAAAATCACACCAAAAACATTACACCAAAAATAAAATCCACCTAGACCTGCATACAGAAAGAGAGCTCTGCCGTGGGAAACCTTGGCCCTCTCCTAATAACCCACCCTTCCAAAGAGAAGTCTCCTCGTCCAAATAAGAAAGTCAAGTCCATTATTTCCTAAAGGCCACAGGAAGCACAACAAAAACTGAAAACAAGGATTGTAAAACTGGACAGCATCCTGAGAAGGGGGAGAGGTTATAAGTCTCCCTGGGTGATATCAGAGGTCATGTTTCCAGGAAAGTTTTTAATAGAAAATAACTATGAAAGACGCCAAAGTAATTCTCTGGTTTGAGCAATTTCTCAATCTTTGGAAAGTTCCTTCCTTAGCTGCTTACTCTAGAACTCGGAGGCTGTGTCCCTTTAAACTTTAGTCACATTTCCCACAGTAAAGGTCATAGGTTTCTCCCCCTTCTCCTGCTTTTGAGAGATCCACCTCATAGATGAGGTCCCAAAGGAAATCCACCCAGACATCTCCCAACTTTAGTCAAAAAGAAAGAAAAGAAAAGAATTCAACGCCCATCCCAAACCTCACTAGTGCCATCCTGAAAAGCAGCTTTTGTTTTGAAAGCAAGAAAAGTCAGCATAACACACAGTGAGATGCAAAATATTTTAAGGCAATAATGGGGGGGTGGGAGGAGTCCTGGAGAAGGTTAACTCAAGTCTTTGCCAAAGCTCATGGCAAAGGAAATGGTTTCCACAAAGCCAAATATGGGGACCTGTTTTGAAAAGTTCTCCAAGAGCAAGAAATAAAGGAGGGGGGGGCAAGGATATAAAAAGCTCTTTTAATTACAACAAACAAATAAATAAGCAGTGCCAACTAGCAGGTGACAAACCACAGTCAAACTTCCATCTCAGAGCAGTTAGCTATAGACTGTTAGCAGTTGGAAAGTAAGCCTTGTGTGCACAAAGGCGCTGTTTAATTTTCTTCTTGTAATGGTTCTGAATGAAGACCCCATCACTATGCAGTTAAGCAGTAGTTCTTGTCCCCCGGAGGCTCTGATCAGTTCTTTTTAATGTGAGAAAACTGGCAGCTTAAATCCCGTCAATGGAGCTCCCACAACAAAAGTTCTGAAAAGCTGAATGAATTGGGTTTGTAACTACTGCATCCCATCCCCCCCCCCCCCTTGCAGCTTATCTCTTATTCATTCACCTTATATTATTGGTAAGGAATCTTACTCTCAGAATCATTCCCCTACCATTTAACCTAGGGCCCTGGAGGACACGCAGGAATAGAACAGTCTCCTCCACCCCCCACCCCCAACTCCCTCACTACACCTGGAAGTGTTCAGACCAATAGGTGGGAAGGAAGGGAGGAGGGCCTATCTTGTACCTCAATCTACTCTGAGGCTACTAGAACTCAGAGTACTCAGCTTCCATTTAAAAACTCAAATTGTATTGGTAAACAGTAATGTGCCCCCCTTTCTAAATTCAGACCCTGCCCAAGTCTGAAATCCTGTGACATATCTACTTAGAAAAGGCAAAGTTTATAAATAAAGCCCCTCCCCTTTCTTCCCAAACTGCAAGGCCCTAAAAGACCTTGCCAGGCATGTAGAAATTAAGATAACTTGTTTTTTTATTCTTTCTTCTAAACCCCAAACAGTAAAAGAGACTATACCCCCACTCTCCAGCCCAAGAAATTCTTTCTTCTAAACCCCAAACAGTAAATGAAATAGCAAAAGAGACTATACCCCCACTCTCCAGCCCAAGAAAAGGATTTATGAAAAAGTCAGCTACAGAATACCAGGGCTCTGTGTGTATTTCAATTCAAGGCACTGCTGATGGAGAAGATTCTCCTGAGATTTCCTACTGTAAGAATGTGTTGGTTCTAGAAATAAGTACAGCTATTACAACCAAATCTACTAGCAGACTAAATAATTAATTGAAGCGTTGCTCTTTGACCCTTGAAAAGTCCAGTAGGGACACGTTTATAGTAATAATACCTCCGAATGAGCCCTTGTCAAATATTCATTTAGTGGTTAATGTGAGCCATTTTCCCCTGGGACCGTCTGTAATACCAGCTTCCCAGCATTGGCAAGAAACCTCGCTAATCTACTATAGCTCAGCAAAATATTTTAACGCTCTTGATTTAAAGTATGGAGGGAGAGAAAAAATTGCAGGGGGAACAAACTATCATCTCATCCTTCCGCCCATTTCTATTCAGTTTATAGGTTAACAAAACATTAAATTCGCCCCCTTAGACTGGAAATTAAATGGATTTAGTGAGCAGAATAATATCCCAAGGAAGGAACTGAACAACTTTAGCATCATGAAATGACCACTTCTGGGCAAGTTGAAGGGTTGACCCCCTTCTTGGGAATCACGTTATAATTAAAATAGTGTATGTTGAATATTAATCTAGCCATGCAACTACACGTCTTGGGGAACCAATTAACCCAATCAAATGAACGATGAAACGTGTATCAGTTTCCTTAAGTGCAGTTTATCAAAAAAATTTATATTTACAAATAATATATTTTGGCTTTTATTTGGGTAGGGACTGTGGAGGGACAGGAGAGGGAATGGGAGTTCTCTTGTTTTATGCAGAGAGTGGCAATCATTCGAAACTAGTTTAACTTCCCCAACCATTGCTCTTCTTCCCTCTTGCAAAATATTTGAACCTGAGAATTTTTGCCAAAAAGTTGTTGCTCTTTTTAGTCTGCTTCTGTGAGCTCTTTTTTTTTTTTTTTAAGGGAGGTTAGTGCAGTACAATTACTCTAAACCCCAATACATATTTTTAATAGATCTCTATTTTTCAAATATATATATACTCTAGATAGTCGATTGGCTCAAATTCCGGGAATATCCTCCCCAGCCCCCCAGAGCAAGATCATCGGGATCTTTATTCAAAGTTTCTTTTATTCCAACGTGTGAGCAAGAACTGTCGAAAGTGCTCATTACCACGTGAATAATCCATATATGCATTACAATGGCTGGCCAGGCCGGGGAAATTCTTTTAGAGTCTCTGCATTAATTAGGGGGAGGGGGGAATACCTGGCTTAGAATTGGAATTGAGAACTGGCATAATAATTCTCCTTTCCCAGTACAATATTACCCTAAAAATGAGGATAAGAAAGGAATAAATAAAAACCAATATGCCCTGAAAATAAAGCAATCCACATGCGATGAAAATACAGAAAATAGGAAGATATCCTCAGCTGAACCCAGAACTAACAATTAGCAACAGCACGAGTTAAGAAATCCTTTCTGGGAAAACGAGGCGATGCAAACCCCCTGGATGAGCTAACTGAGTGGTTGCAGCCGGGACTCTACTCAAGGTTGGAAGGTGCTGCCGGATTGCAACTTCTCCGAAGTTGTAACAAGGTGACACAAAAAACCATTGAAAGTGTGGGAAGCAAACCCACGCTTTTAAGAATGCCTGACTGACTCTCGGTTCCTGGTCCCCCTTCGGCGGGGAATGCTGAGAGAGGTTAAGTAGTAAATAAAAGAAGAGAAATCCCGGAGTCGGTCCTACAGGATTGATTCTCCGGCTGCGCCAAAGCGCGAGTCGGTTGTGAGGCAGAAACATCGCGAAGGCCAAGACCACAGCGATTCCCCCAACTTCTCTGCTCCCACAGAGGACAACTCTAGTCTTTCTTTACCTTTCCTAGGGCAAAAGAAAACAACAAATCCAATCTTGTTTCTCCACCCCTCCCCCTCCCCCTCCCTCTCTATTACTAGTAAAACATGGTTAACAGATCAAAAGCATAATAATCTCCACATGTGATTAGATCGGACAAGTAAAATATCTACCTCAGAGTTGTTTTCTTCTTTATTATGTCTGTGGCCTGGCTTCTCTCTTTTGCTTGTTATCAGCTGCAGAGCTTATCCGATTTGGGGCTACAGGCTTGGACCCGCGCTGCCAATTTAAGAAATGGAATTCGTGGAGGGAGAGAGAGAGGAAAAAATAAAATAAATAATGATAATAATAGCCGTGGCAAGTCAGGCGTTTTTGCAAGACGCTCTCCGCGTTCTCTCACCCCTAAACAGGAAAATGTTAGAGGAGAAAGTTTATGAAGTCAAGGAACAAAGAAAGCAAACCACTTGTTTCCTCTCAGACAATAGCAGGGCTGGAGTAATCCGAACACCCACCCAGCAGATGAGCACTCTGCATGTCTAGTTTGCAATTATTCCGATACAAGAAGCATTTTCCCCTATAACCACATTTCCAAAGGGCCATTGTACTGTGAAGAAAACGAAAACAAAACCAGCCAACCTGGTCCCGGTTTGGCTCAATACCCCATCTGCTAAACTACACGAAAAATTTCAGAATGGACTCCTATCTGGCAACAAGTGGCATAAATCAGTTTAAGTCCCCATCATGCTGCTTAGAAAAGGAGGGGGGGTGGGCTGGATTTACAATCTATGTCTTTAGTTTCTATTTTGGAGATGACACGAGCATTTTAATTTTTTCCAGTTCTTACTCAACCATCCAGCCACATATTTGTTGCTGTTAACATTAGCACAAGCTACTGGAACAGAATACCAAGGTTTTAGGTATTTTTGCTTTCTTGGCTGAGCACAGCATATAATTTCCTGAGGAGTTATGTCTAATCAGTGTTCACCAAATAAATGAAAGACTCAAGAATAATTTCAGTGTCCATATTTCAAAAATTTATTTATCTCAAACTGTGCATAATGGAGTAAAAACTTAAGTTGAAAATGTACCTGTTATAAGGATGGTATTAGTTCAAATATATACATGGATTCTCGGCAGACTGATTCAAATAATACAGAGCCGAATCTTTAAAATACAACTACGGAAAATAAAGGGGGGGGACCTTAAAATATCACAATAAATTTACAGGAATATTACAAACCATAAGAAAATATTTCAAACACAGTAATTTCATGTTTTTTATCTGAACAAAATGGAAAGTTGGGAAACAAAAGCTATTATAAATTACCAATGATGTCAACCTGCATGGCCATTTTTACTTTTAACAGTAAGTTAAAAAAAATTTAGTACAATCTAAAACTTTTGCCCCTTTAAAGACCGCGGAGATAGTTTTACCAGTACATATCCTAGTTGTTGTTTTTCCTTTTGTACAATTTTTAAACAATTAAAATGTCCAAATCTGAATAGTTTCCTTTTCACGGCTGTAACTGCCCTAAATTTCAGCTGCAGAATCAAAATTCAGCAAGAAGCCTCTCCTTGAAAAATTTTGGCAAATTCTCAGCTTATAAACAATGGACATTTTGATTGCCATGTTTATCTCGATAAATACTGTACAAAAGTTGCTTGCAAATATTAAAACATTTTTTTCCCGTCGCTTGGAGACTAGCTCTAAATATTACTGGTAAAGACTTTTGCAAACTTTCTGCAAAGCTCCTACCGTATCACTAGAACTTTTTAAAAGTTTTGCGTAGTTTTCTTTCCTCCAGATCTATACAAGGTCCATCCCCTCGCCCTCCCCACCCACCCCCCCTCCGGTTTTCTCTGTACAAAAATAGTCCCCCCAAAAGAAGTCCAGGATCTCTCATAAAAGTTTTCTTGTCGGCGTCGCGGCTTTTTGTGTGAGTGTAGCTGGGATCGGTGTTCTCTTTTGCAGACAGATGTCATTTGCGGTGGGTGATAACTTTTTTTGTTTTGCGCATACCGGGTTTTTCCTCCACGCTGCTTCGTACTCTCCTCCCATTTCCCCCTTGTTTCTCCTTGAAAAAAAAAATCCCCCCTTCCAGTTCACCGTACACGACCCTCACATGTGCGAGAGGGGCAGTGTGCCGTTAATGGCCGTGCCGGGCACCGGGCCGCTCTGGTAGTGCTGGGACATGTGAAGTCTGCTGGGGGCGGCGGGCTCCGGCACCTCGGCGCCGGGGAGGTACATGCTGATCATGTCCCGGAGGTCCCCGGCCTGGCAGGGCGCCCTGGAGTGGGAGGAAGAGGTAACCACGGGGGGGCTGGAGCTGGCCTCGGACTTGACCACCGAGCCCATGGAGCCCAGCGCCATGCCGGGAGTGCCCTGCTGCGAGTAGGACATGCTGTAGGTGGGCGAGCCGTTCATGTAGGTCTGCGAGCTGGTCATGGAGTTGTACTGCAGGGCGCTCACGTCGTAGCGGTGCATGGGCTGCATCTGCGCCGCGCCGTGCGCGTTGAGGC